ATAAATAATTTTACATGCTTCTGCCAGTCATATAAAATTGATGTTAAGTGTTAAGTATTTCTATTCAACCCCTCGCGACCCCACTTGGGACAAGCTTGTCAGATAATGCATGGATGGATATTTCTATTCAGATTGATGCACTAGTCAAAAAAAATAAACAAAAAAAAACAATGAATAAATCTATTACTAAAATAATCTAAAACTGCAGCCGTGATCTAAGAAACTACATTTATCTTGTTTTTTATGTTGATATATAAGGAAATACAATACTCAGTGCACTATGCAATACTAAGCTTGCCCAACATGAGTTTTTTTGTTGTTGTTGTTGTTTTTACCAACAGTCTGCGTTAAAATTCCTGATAAAATCTGAATTTCCTAAACATTATTAAACCTTAAATAGCAATATTTGACACCTTTAGAAGAAATAGGACTAAGTTGTTTTCCTAATACTGGCTTGTTTTGATTAATTTAATCATATCAATCTGATACCAGCCCATGACCAGTCCTGACAATAACAATCTAACAATACACAGGAAAACACACATTCATTTCCACCTGTTACATTAACTGAAACAGATTTATGTGTATTTAGGACTACTAGTGCTTGAATTTTGGTCATCTAGTTAGATGTCTCAGGAATTTGCTTTAATGGTAAGATCCTAAACATAGACATACAGCAAACATAGAGTTAGGTATAGAATGTGAATTAAATAAAGAAATTGTATAGGGATGTTTTGACAAAAGAGCTGTTTACATCTCCTGGCAAGATGAATAAAGTGACAAGGAATTGGTAAATGATGCAAAATGAAAACTAAAAGGCATCTGAAAATAATGACAGGATGCTAAACTAAGCCTAAGAATCACTTAACCGACGTTTTTGAAGTGTAAGCCTCCATAACTGTTCATTAAACTCTGTTAAATTTAGAGAGATTAACCGTTAGACTGAGCTAAACTAATAATGTCAATCTAAAAGGTTTAGACTGCTCGGAGATAAGACCTGTAGCTAACGGTTAATCACATGTAAACACAGCTAACTTGAATACCAACTGGCCGTCCAGGTAACGGTTGCCATGGTGATAAATAGCAGTTACTTTGGGTGGTTGCTGCTCAGACCAGCTAGCTCCGTAACATAACATATGTTCAACTGTTTTTGTTGTGTTTTTGACGTTAGCTTCTGCTAGCAGCAGCGGGCTAGCCTCTGCTAGGAAGGCTCTGTGGAAATAAAGCGAGCCCTTAAACAAAAAGAAAAGGGAGAAAAAGAGAGCTCTGCTTACACAGTGATGTGCCCGGCCCCTCGCATGATCACAGGCTCCGGACAGTATCTTGGCAAATGCTCCTCGCTCACTACGTGCTCATCCTCTTCGTCTTCTAACTCATAAATGGTATCAAAGTCCGCCATGTTGGGTAGTAAGACGCTCATCATCGCCCCGCTGCGTTCAGATTTACAAGCGCTGGAAGCTGTATGGCAAGACCTTTTATAATCTAATAGTCAGTGAAACAAACTGTACCGAGGGGCGCTCAGGTTTGTTTTTTATGGGGGTTCTACAGAAAGTAATGAAAAAAACAACAACAACAACAACAACGACGAAATAAGCATAAACGACACAGGGAAATAATTAATTGTTTGTTTGATGTATTAAGTGAGCCAAAGAGCCACCTGCACCCTTGGACACCAATGATTTAGATTTTAGATAATAACTTAGGCCCGTCTGAATATGACAGATGCTAAAAGTGAAACTTAGATTTGATTATGAAACTGATTCCATAAAGAGAAAAAAATAAAGAAATAATCATTTGGGTCCAAGGGAGTAATGGTTTCCTATCATAATAAAACACTTATTTAATATTATGTCTTTAGCACAGTGGCCTTAATATGGGGCCAGTACCATTTCCCCTGTCTAGAACCACCCACATGTCTTTTAAAGCAGATCTCTCCAAAACTTTAGATGGACATTATTCCTCACGCGAAAGAAGCACAACCAAACACCAACATAGATCCACCAACCATAAACAGGTAAATCCTTCTGAAGCCTGGATTTGTTTAAGTTATGTCACTGACTTTTGGTAGGACTTTTGAAAATCATGATGTATAACCAAAACTAAAAGTCTGAGTGCAATCGTCTGACTGGGCTGGCAGGTAATTGCACTTACTGGTGAGCAGAATCTACTCTTGCTTAGAATATTATCTCCAAAACAGGATCAAAATGATTGTTGTCTACATATGTGATTTTTGCTTTACACTTATAGCCATTAACATCCAAAACTAGGTAAAGAAACCCCTCTGTTAAAGTATTTTAGCATCCATGCAGTAATTTTAAATTGTAGTGGAATTAATCAACTCCAAATCCAATTTTTAGACTAAGTACAGAAGAAGGTTTTTGCATTGCTTAATCATAATATGGATGTAAGTAGAGCTTTGAAATAAGACATAAAAATATGAGACAACAGATAGAGCAGCAAAACTCTCCGTTAAAAAGTAGGCAGCTTGATAACAAACTTGAGGGGTTTATGTAAAAGTACATTTTTCAAGTAGGATGGTGAGAAAGTTGCTCTATGTGGTGATAAATGAGGAGAGTATGCAGTATGGATCAAAAGTGCAATTTTCTGGAAGAAGTCCTTTATAAGACAACTGTTTTGAACCAATGAAGGAATGGCCTCAACAATAGACCCTCATTGCCAGCCTTGATCTGTGATCTGATGTCCTATGACCCTCAGACTTGGAAATAAACCTGTGTCCAACTTTGTCAATGATGGAAAATTACAGGAGGCCTTGCTTTTGTATTCGGGAATCAAAGACAGAATACCTTTCTTTTTTGTCTTATTTTCAATAAATTACACTCTCCTCTCTTAGGGAGACCAATTAACCAGCAGCCATATGGGAGGGGGCTGTGAAAGGAAGCTGCAATAAGAGAAGAAAACTCAACAGATTCAGAGAAGACAGCAAAAACTCCAATAAGAGAGATTTAAACCCAAGACCTTCTCACTGCAGGGCAAAATTCATACAAGCTGCAACACAGTGGAGCCACATTTAAATAGAGGTGGCGAAACATCTTCAAATCTTGAAAACCAAGTCCAGTGGATATTTTTTGAATTTTTACGGAATCACATTTAAATAGTTTTTGAAAATAAAACAGTCTTAAAATACAAAAAAATACAAATTTGGAGTGATGCATATTTTCTTTTTGCCTATATAGAAATCTAGAATTCTGGGTATTCTGGGACTCCACTGAGTTTTGCACACAGTGGGGACATAAAAAATACAGCTTTACTGCCAGGAGAAACAAGAGCTTGTTGATTAACCAATCTTAAAAAATATCAATAGACTTTCCCAGTAGGCCTGCTGAAATAAAACAAGCAAACCCTAGATCAGCCTGGATGTTTTCTTTCAAGCAAATACATAGGCTTGCTTTATCTAAGCGCCTAGTTAAGAGATAGTTTGCTGCAGTCCAGACTGCTGAAGTTAAAGAGCCGACTAGATTGAACCTGATAAGTCTGGTTAGGTACACTGAAAAAGTAATACAACCGTTTTTGGCATCCAATTAAGTACGCCTAGTGAGCAGCATTTTTGTCATAACCCATTCTGCAAACATGAAACTAATGTGTTAACTAAATATGATTAAGTAGATGACAAAAACCCTTGCATATTTTTTTCAGGAAGGAGAACTCCAAAAATCTAAAAATCAGCCGCGGAAAAGTACATTTATATATTTTAGCTGCGTGTGGTTCGATAAAATGGTTAAATAGCCTGCCATACACATACTGCCTCTGGAAGTTTATCGCTCCACCGCGCGAGGATTTACAGGAGTTGAAAGTGTTTGCCGTACCGGGTGACAGACACACAGTGGATGCATCTGTTGGAGCCTTGACACACGGAAGTCCTCCACTCAGACATGGGCTAATAAATTAAGCCATTAAAATCCTACATGGACAAAGGCTATAGGTCAACTTCCTTCTAAAATAACAAGCTGCAGTTAACATGTCAATTTGGAAAATAGTGTACGGGTCGCCTCAAATCAAAGCGCCATCTTCCCTCTAGAATTACTCAATCACAGCTGACTAAAAAATAAAAAATAATAAAAATATAACAAATTGTTCAGGGGGCGATATATATATATATATATATATATATATATATATATATATATATATATATATATATATATATATATATATATATGTATTTTTTTTCCCCCTGGTTAGTAGTAAATTATTTAAACACGTATTTTTTGGAAACCTAATAAAATGAGCCTCTGTTTGTAAAAGCAGCCTTTTTAACCCCAAACATGTAAATGTGAAATGGAAGTTCATTTCTATCAGTTACGTTTTTAGCTCCAATTACTGCGGTATTTAGAAGAAGAAAAAAATCAAAATAGAAGCTACAAATTTAGTAGAAAAACAAACACTTTATTTAACATTTACAAAGTCGGCAATATACCCGCATCGTTCCCAGCTGCCCTGTGTGCACCGCATTGCGCTTCAAACAAGTGAAAAATGATTTGTCAGGTAAACCCATGGGTTTCTCCAGCGTCACTGGAATGGCCATTTTCTGCTCAAAATCATCAATAAACACATACATTCGTCAAACACCTACAAAGCACCATATTTGTACCTTATAACCTCACAAACAAGGATTTTATTTTTTTTTTAAAAGGTTAAAAGTTTATTTTTTTCTTCTTTTTTTAAAATCACGGCTTCATTAGAACTATTCTATTAAAAATAATATTTCAAGAGCCTCCGGCATATCTTTAGAAAACCCAGACGCTTGTCCGCAGTGTTCAGATCCTTCTGCTGTCCTTCAGGGTGTTGGAGTGCTCAGTTTGGAGAGATCAGATCAGATGGTCCACATGCTTTACTGAGTCACAGTCACCTGCTGGATATTCCTGATAGACGGCAATGTGCTCATTCCCTGGGGAGGGTACAGAGAGCCGTGGATCTCTGTGGGACTGAGGGAGCCCGGTACCGGCAAAGGGCTCACCGAACCCGGGTCACTGTGAACAGACCCGCTGCTGCCGTCAGACTGACCCAGCTTCTTCTTTATCAGCTTCCTCTCTTTGGCTCTGCGGTTCTGAAACCAGATTTTCACCTAAAGAAGAGTACAAACAATTACATTCAGCATTTAATATAATATAATATAATATAATATAATATAATATAATATAATATAATATAATATAATATAATATAATATAATATAATATAATATAATATAATATAATCGGAGGCCCAGCTCCCTTTTTTACTTGCAAAGACCTATTATTTTCCAATTTTAAATTTCTTAACTAAATACCGTTTTTCGTTTTTTTTTGTTTTTTTTGTTTTTTTACATTTGAGCTTTTACTTTGTTTAAAACGTAAAGGAATTAGTTATTTTTTATTATCTCCTTTCAAAAAGTTTTTATAAAGCAAAAATTGTGAGAATAATAATTTCAAATCCATCACAAACCACGTGGCACATTCGCCAAAAAAGAAAAAAAAGATTTTAGAGAGACTATTTCGTTATGCTCAAAGCACATTTAGAAAAAACAATTAAAAGAAATAGGTAGACATATTAAATGTGCATGTACTTCTAAATGTTCTTCTAAAAGGATAACAACACAGCAAATAAGCATTTTTGGAAAGACTAAATTTGATATGATTTTAACAAATAAAACACAGTTAAACACATCATAAATATTTAAAATGTTTGCTTTGAAACTACACAGCCAATAGATTATTCTTATTATTTCAAGAATAGGAAGGTTTGGCATATTCTATTAACTATTTGTTTTAGAAAAAAAATAAACTGAATTTGCTGAATGGAATGCTAATATTTTTTTTCTTTTCCTCTATTTATATAGGCTATTTATATTTCATTAATGCAGCTTTTTTTATTATTTCCACTCAATTTATTAAAAATCCTACTCATAATAATACCGTTGACATAATTAAACTGGCAAATAAATTATGGGCACTTAGTTGAACAGAAAAATAAAGCTCAAGAAACAATTGCATAATAACACATTTTTGTGCCATTAATTACAAAAGCGCTATAAAAAATATTTATATATAATTTTGACATTACAGTCTGTATTGATATTTTTAAAAGCTAAAACCTTTATTATTAGGCTTATGACAGTAGATTTAATGCTGGATCTGAATTGATCCACATGGCGCATGAAGGCATTTCCATCCATACCTGTCTTTCAGACAGACCCAGGTTGACAGCCAGTTCAGATTTCCTCCTGATGGTGATGTATCTGTTGAAATGAAACTCCTTCTCCAGCTCCAGCCTCTGATGGTCTGTGTAGACTACCCTGTATTTCTCCTTCGTTCTTGTTTTACCTGAAAACAGGACAAATACACAAACTGAGGGGAAGAAGGCATTGTGTCTGCAGACAGTAGGAGCGGGCCTGCTTGTCTGGACCAGCCTGGCCTATCTGAGCACCACATCTTAGTTGAAATCCACATCTTCTCAATAGCACTACTTTTGATCTTCCTTTTTTGGGTAAATTCTCTCCACGTGTTTTAGATTAAAAAGGTTGAAAAAGTGATATTCAAACGAATTAAAAATATACTTTTTATTAAATGTTCTTTTGATTCTAAAATTGTTTAATGTAAGGAATTTTTACTCAAAATGCGGGAAAAAGGAAAACTCCAGTAATAAATAGTAGTTTAAATTTTAGATTAATTTTAGATTAATTTAGGAAAAATAAAAACGCTTCCAACAGAGTCCTAAAAAGGAGTCTTTCCGGGCAGTGAAAGGGAGGCTGGCGCATATCAAAGTAAAGGGAGGTGATGAGCGCACAGACCGCAGCCTGTGTCTGACTGGCAGCACTGGAAGCTGCAAACAATGTAACTGAGAAGCTGAGCTCACATCTCCAGGAAAACTGACATTAACATTACAAGCAGGCATGGCGCCGATTCCTCAATCCATTATTTTTTCATTCATTTCCACCCACAGCAGCACACAGCACAGCGCAGATCGGTGTTTTTAAAACAATCTTCCCATTTACCACTGTGAATGTGCCTGTAAATACCAACCATATAGTTATATCGGACTAATAAAGCTTTGGAAGTCGGCATGCGTCGGCGCAACATCCAGAATAAAGTGACAGAAGCTCTAAATGAAGTCTTGTCCACCAACTCTATCAAAGCCTGGTTTGTCCAGCATGAAGCTCTCACCTGTAGAAGACGATTGAGCGGTTTTGCTCATCCATTGGTATGAATTGCGCCTTTCTCTCTCAGGAGAAATCTGTGCAACTGTAACGTTGTCCGGCGGCTGCTGCAGCACCGCAGATCCGGGAGGGTGCATGTGACTATACTCGGGAGAACAGTAAGGAACTTGTCCATTAGATGTGTTGTTCATGGGGGGAGGGAGATTGTTAGGGGGTCCAAGACTGTATGAACCCCAGTCCTCTCTTGGGGCGCCATATGAAGGTCCCCAACTGGCCCCAGGTTGTGCGTGCGTTTCCATGTTTGGCACATGATGGTATCCGGTAAAGTCGGGGTACTGTGGAGACGAAACAAAGTTCTGTGGAGGAAGATTGATGCTCGATCTTCTTACTGGCCCTTGATGATACATCCCGCTTTCTTTATCCAGTAAGTATCCCACGTACATGTTTTGCAGAGAAAAAAAAAGTTTGAAAAGTTGTTTTAGCAGCAAAGGGTAAATGCAGCCAATCTCAAGGCAACATTTTGGCCCTGCCAACTGATAATCTTGATCCCTGCGCTCTTTATAGTCCAAACGGGTTCCCGATTTAAAATGCCGATCGTCTCCAGCTTTACATGATGTGTGCAGATGACACGGAGCTAAAGGCACTCTGAGGCCTGCCTGACGTCAGCCAACTCTTGGATCCTTGCAGATTTGCATCTAAATGAGAGTGACTGGTGGTGCAGGCCCAGCTGTCCCTTGCGTCCGTCCTGCAACGCGTCATCATCCGGCATTGGGCCTATCCCGAGCACGGGTTCTCTGCTCCATGAATAAATTATCAGCAGGACCTATCAGCTGCACACACGGTCAATAAATCCGGGCTGCACGTCCACACGCAAACAAGACGGCCTGTGCGTAATTACGCACATAATAACTTTTACAATAAATGGCTTGTTAAAATAATTTACTTTCTCTGCAAATCATATAAAATGCATCGACTCTGACTAATATTCAAATGTTGATTTCTCTGAATTTCTATTTTAAAAAACAGTATTTAAATTTCCTGTGGAAGTGTGACCACGCTTCACACATAAACCCTGGAATTATTTGTTAAGATATTCACTTGCAAACGAGGTGCAAAGTACCAGAGACTTTTTTTTTTCTCGTTTGGGATTCCGTTCACACCTCAAGGTCGCACTTCACAGCTAATTCCGGTTACAAGGAAACTCCAGCAGCCCCCTCTCCCCCAAGCAGCGGCCTGTGGCACCATCACTCAAACTGCTCCGAGGTTTTCTAATAGCTGAGCACATAAAACATGACATACAGCAACCATCCTGAGTTATTTCATCAACGAGACACACTGAAGCGTTTAAGAAAAAAATAAAAGGCGTGCAATAATTATCTGTCACTCCTTTTTAAACTGGGGCCTCTGGATGATTCCTTTATTGCTCACAAAATATTTATGAGACAACTAAATTGAGTTGCTGTCCACTGATCTCTAGAGGCGTTTCCCATGTCTTAAAGAGGCCAACATCTAAAGTTTATTTTATTGTGAGGGTTACCCCCCCTTTTTTTTTTTACTGTTGGTTGCATAATAACCAAACACTTATTTAGTAATGTGTTTTCTTAGGTCTGAAACGGCTGTGTTGAATATTTGGACAACTCAGAGCCTCCTTAGATGGCTTCATGTGTAGCAGTCACAGTTAAATCATTTCTGTTAATATCACTTACAGCCAGAGGTGGGAGATGTAGAGTCAACAAATCACCTCCATGCCATGTGTTTGTTCTGCCCAGTCACTGGACCAGGTGCGTCCAATTTTGGTGGCACCTGATTCAGTTGCTGGGCTGAATAAACACGTGACTGATGACTTGTTGACTCCACATCCCCCACCTATATTTACAGCATTTATTACTTTTTTTTTTTTTTTGCTGTTTTCAGAGTTCATTTTTCATATTCTGTCAGACCAAATAATTACCCCTTATTAATGACCTGAGAAACACATCATGTGAAGTCTTATTGTACCCTCATTTGATTCCATAAACCTTAACTAAAGTGTTCTTTAGTTATTTTTTTCAGCTATTTGCCTATTGTAGAAAAATCCACCTGTAATGGAGCCCCAAAGCATGATATAAAGGAGTGGTCCTTGTTTTGCTTTATAGCCTTCTTGCATTTAAGTCCACCTTCCACACACCACATAAAAAATACTTTGCACTTTTATGCTGTTCGTTTAGTTGTTATGCAGGAAAACAACAACGAATGCCGGAAAATTCCTTATATGACTCGATATTTGGCATTCACATATATTTTTATAAGAAACTTTCACATTCCAATGACTTTAATTAACAATTTTGAAAAGTAATAATTTCTATTAATTGAACTGAGAAAATAAAACTCTAAACTTTGAGCTAGCCTATAGTAGGCTACCTATAGTAGTGGAAATTCATTCTTTAATGTTTTGTGTATCTTTTTAAATCAGATCAAGATAAATACAGGTGATAACATACGTTTTTATATTTTTTACTAGATATATAATTATTATTATTGTTATTATTGTATTTTTTACTAAATCGTTGAAACTCATAATAAGTGTTAAAATACTGCATCATTGTTTTCAGAAAAACATATTGGCTGCATAGAATTAATCCGTTTTTATCTGCCGGTGAAGTGAAGTTAATTTTTTTTAAGTGTTTATTTATCAAAGCATTTTGTTCCTTTCAAATGAAATAGTGGGAATAGTGATTACTATATTTGATTCAATTTCCAACTAACTAAATCAAAACTATCAGTCTTTTTGCATTATGTATACAAATGCCAATATATATATACATACATATATATATATATATATATATATATATATATATATTCCTTGAAACAGCAACAATGAAAACAAAAACATTAATGTTACAAGCATTCATCCTTTCCAACCTTCCATTTTCACACAATTAGTTCAAAGGAAACAACAGAAAAGACTCCACATTTTTTTTTTTTTTGTAACTTAACTTTTCCAGAACCAAATAAAAGCACATTTCATTGAGCCATAGTACACCTTTTTTTCCATTATCCACATAATGACATAAGCCTCCAAGCTTTACAGTAGAAGAAAAAAAACACAACAGTGCCATCAAGTGGTGGGACTAAGACACTGCAGAATCTCCCACAGTCTTGAATTTGTGAAAGGCCTTTTTTGGAGACTGACTGATTCCACATAGGGCAAAACAGGAAAGAGACAAAAGCGACAGCATCAGCCATTTTAAGTGCTATCCGAATAGTGCTGGCTGTAAGGAGGTAGGAAGATGATGCAGGGCGCTTTCTAGGTAGATCATTTAGCACAGAGACCTTTATTTAGATTTTGATTAGATTTTTTATTTTTATTTTATATACTCTAATAATCCCAGTGGGAAATTACTTCTCTGCATTTAACCCATCCCCTTGGGGAGCAGTGGGCTGCCATTGTGAGGCGCCTTGAGGGTCTTGCTTAGGGACCCAGAGTGGCAGTCTGTGGGAGTGGGGAATGGAACTCACAATCCCAAGATTCAAAGGCCTATGCCCTAACCACTATGCCGCCACTTCACGCCAAAATCTGTATACATTTTGAATTAGTTTTGAATCAGACACAATCCATTGATATAAAGTCTTTGCTCAAATCAATCTGAGATTCAAGGGATTTTCCAGGTTCTTTTTTTTATTAAACATGTGATATCACTGGCCAGTACTAAAGGTTAAACTCCTCTGATGCAAAGTTTCCTAGTATAACCAAGGGGGCTTTGACCTTTAAGTAGGATTTAAACTGGTCCATAGCTGTACCTGTTTTCTTGACACTCTAATAAAATGGTGTGATCAACAATGTCAAATGCTGAACTAAAGTGCAATTATCCCAGCCCTGTGGTTCTGCCACTGTCTGCATTTATATGAATGCCACTGAACACCTTGATCAGGGCCGTCTGACTCTGGTGAGAGTGGAAGTCTGAGTGGAAGATGTTGAAGAGGCTGGGCATTGTTAGGAAGGTGTTTAACTCTTGAAACAAAGCTCTTAAAATAACCGTACTAATGGAGGAAGGTTTGAGATTGGCCTATAGCTCTGCAATTTCAACATAATTGAGCTTTTTCAACAGTGGTTTGATATTTTGTGCACTGGCACAAGAGAAGTGCAGTGAAACTTAGAAGAGAATGGACACCAACTAAGCTCTTCTTACCACGGTTTTGATATTTTACCCACAGCCTTCCTTAAGAAAGCTTTGCCTGACATCTATTTAAGAAACATGTCCATTTGACAAATTGCTTTCCTCAAGGCCCTTACAACAGTAATTATCATTTATTCCCACTGTTATGCTGATGAGACTCAGCTATATATATCCACAAATCCTGATCAATCCATTCAGTTAGGTGGACTACAGACTTTTGATTTACACACAAACATGGATGGCTTTACATTTTCTGCTATTAGATTCTGACTTGATAGAAGTTGTCATGTTTGGAGCAGAGTCTTTCAAAAAGGGAGCTAGATAATATCTTAATCTGGATGAGAGAAAACAGGCCTTCGATAACGAATTAAAAAACGAATATGAGTTAAATCCTAAGTTTCTAGAATTTCCTTCTGTTGTCTCTGGAATGTTGCCAAAATTAGAAATATTCTATCAAGGACTGAGTTAAATACTAGTCCATTTGTTACTTCACTGTTGGACAATTGTAATACTTGACTACCTGAGAGTCCACAATATTTAGTTAAAACCTTAATTTGATCCAAATACTGGAGTATTCTGATGAAAATTAAAATTAAGGATAATATTTATCCTATTTTAGCTTCACTTTATTTAATTAAGAGAAGGCTTAAAATTCTCTTTCTCCTAAATCTCTAAATAATAATTTCAGACTCTTTTCCTCTTGAATCTACATCTAGTTTTAGTCTGTGAGGCAGACAAAGCGTTTACTTTCAGAATTAGGCTTAAAACGTTATTTTTGATGAAGCTCACAGTTACAATTGCCTAAGAAATCAATAGTTATCTGTAGTTATGCTACTATAGGCCTAGGCTGATGGAGGACATAAAGGACACTTCCTATCACACTGCTTCATGACCTTGCTATTTTCCAACTTTGCGTTACTTGCTTTATTGAATTTTCTCACTTCATGTTTTCCCTGTTTCTTGTTGTAATGTATCTTCACCTGACCGGAAGGGCTATTTAGTTATGGCAACATCTTTGGGTGGGTTGGAGAGGGCATCATCTTTGTTACAGCTGTCATCAACTTCATGATATATATGATACAGTTTGCCCTGTTGTGCCTGAATACAATGGAGGGGAACTGTGTAATAAGAAGCTGTTACTCTCACTGTAGCAATGCATGTTTAAATTAACACATATACCGTTGAAATTCCAGATCAGATTTTAGTGCTTCCGAAATATAGTGTATAATGAGAAAAGATATGAAACCAGGAATTATGCAAAAAAGTGCAAGGTATTATCTTAG